TGAAGTTGTCTACAACTTCAATCTATTCTCCATTGCCTACTGGTCCAATGGTAAGAGTTTTTGTTTTCTTGATGTTCAGATATAATCCATATTGAAGTCTGTACCTTCTGCAGCAAGTGCTTCTAGTCTTCCTAACTTTTAGGAAGCAAAGTTTTGTCATCTGTATAATTTGGGATACTGATGAATCTTCCTCTGATCCTGATGCCACATTCTTGTTCATAGAGTCCAGCTTCTTAAATAGTTTGCTCAGCATATAATTTGAATAAAGAGAGGCTACAACCTTGACACACTTAATTTGAAACCATGTAGTGACAGAAGAATCAATGTCTTTGAGTTGTGATGCTGGAGATGAGTTTTGAACATACCATGGACTGTCAAGAGAAACAGGTCTGTCCTAGAGAGGATAAAACCAAGTTGCTCCTTGGAGGACATTATGCTTGAAAGGGTAGAGGAACAGGGCAGGAGAGGAAGACCCCAGATGAGAGAGACTGACACAGTAACTGTGCTAGGTTTGTCAGAAACAGTGAGATTGGCTCAGGATAGGGCAGAGTTCAGAGCTACTGTGCATAGGGTCACAAGTGTTCTCTTGCTCTGTTTGCACAAAAGCTTCTTGGTCTAGGTATAAATTTCACATGAGAACAATTATGTGTTCTGGGATTCCCATTCTTCTTAACGTCATCCATAATCCGTTATGATCCACAGTCAGATGCCTCTGCATAGTCAATAAAGCACAAATTTGACATTCTTCTGGTATTCACTGCTTTCAGCTAGGACTCATCTGACATCAGCAGTGTTATCCCTGGTGCCACAACTACTTCTAAATACAGCTTGAACTTTTGGAAGTTCTCTATGTACTGTTCTAGCCATTTAAAAAACAGTATCTTCTACATTATTTTACTTGCATGTGATATTAATGATATTGTTATGATAATTTCCACATTCTGATAGATCACCTTTCTCAGGAATGGGAATATGTGTGTCTTCCAGTCACCTGGCCAGACAGCTGTCCTCCAGTTTCCTGGCATAGACTGTTGAGGATGTGCAGGGCTGCATTTGTTAGTTGAAACATACCAATTGGTATCTCATGGATTTCTGAGGCCTTATTTTTTGTCAATGCTTTCACTACAGCTTGAACTTCTTTATTACTAGTGATTATATATTACCATTGATTTTAGGTAGGTAGGTAGGTAGATAGATAGATTAGATAGATAGATAGAGATAGATGATAGTTGTTATTGTTAAGTGCCATTGAGTCGTAGATGACTCATAGCGACCATATGAACAAAAGACCTGAACACTCGTATAACTTTGGTGGTTTCTTCATGTTCATAGAGTTTCTGGAGGCAAGCCATTTCGGACATGGATGCCACTCCTGCTTCCAAGCTTGTTTTAATTGGGAAGCTCCACCAAACACTGTCTACCATTATGGCATTTGGCATATCAGTGTCACAGTGTTTAGCATCACAGCAACCACAAGTTACCTCAGTACAGCAATGCACAGACCAGTGCTATACCACTGAGAATGTTTGACAAAAAACTTTAAACCAAAAAACAATTTAAAAACCTAATGGGAGGCCTTATCACATCATCTCACTCCCCTTAGCAAGTCAACATTTCACCCTAATACTCATCAATTCCAGCCAACAAGAAGCTTCTGTAGAATCCAGCTCTTGCAGATGGCTTTCAAAATGGATTCCAGCCCCATGAAATTCCTGAAATAGTTCTGTTTGCCAATTCTTTGGGTACAGTGATTCCATCATCTTTTGATGCTTACTGTATCATTCAAGATTTTGCCTATACCATCTCTCAGTATTGCAACTTGAGGTTTTAATTTTTCAGTTCTTTCAGCCTGAGAAATGCTGAGTGAGTACTTCCTTTTTTGATTTCTACCTCCAGCTTTTTTTTTTGCACATATCATTGTAATTTGCTTTGTCTTCTCAAGCTGCCCTTTGAAATCTTCTGTTAATTTCTTGGTTTTTTTTTAAATCTTCTGTTAATCTCTTTTACTTCAGTATGTCTTAATTTTGTTTTGCCTTCTCGATGCTGTAATGTATTTTTAGAGTCTCTTCTAAATCCATTTTGGTTTCTTCTTTCTCGACTTAATGACCCTTTGCTTTCATCATGGATGATATCCTTGATCTTATCCTACAACTGCTCTGGTCTTTGATTACTCCTGTTCAATGCTTCAAACCTATTCTGAAGATAATTTCTTAAATTCAAGTGGGATAGACTCAAGATCATATTTTGGTTCTCATTGACTTGTTTCCATTTTCTTCGGCTTCCATTTGAACTTGCACCTAGTCTGATCTAGTCAGTACCTGGTCTGGTTTTGACTGCTGATATTGAGCTTCTATAATGATTCCTTTCACAGATTTAGTCAATCTGATTCCTATGCAGTCTAACAGGTGAGGTTCATATGTAAAGCTGCCATTTATGCTTTTTTAAAAAGGCATTTATGATTACTAACTCATTGAATGTACATATTTGATCATTCTATTTCCATCCCCATTTCTGTCACCACATCTGTACTTTCTGACTACCATTCCTTCCTCCTTGTTTTCAACTTTTGCATTCCACTCATTACTTATTAATGCATCTTCATTGTATGTTTGGTTGATTTGGACTGCAAAATTTTGCAAAAATCTTCAGTTTCCTCCTCTTTGGCTTTAGTTGTTGGTGCTTATATCTGAGTAACAGTTTTGTTTACAGGTCTTTCTTGTGTACATATCGATAATTCCATCACAACATTGTACTTCAGGATAGAACCTGAAATTGTCTTTTTAACTATGAATGAAAGACACATTAAAGACAATCCCAAAAAAACGCCATTGCTGTTAAGCTAGTTCTAACTCACAGATTAAAATGACAGCTGACCTTTCAGGTAGCAATACTTACTCTACTACACTTTCTTAGATCCTAGTAATATGTATTTAATCATTATAACCAACCTAAGTGCTTTGGAAGTAGCATATTTTCCTTAACATTTTATAAAAGTGAAGGCTTGAAATAACTACTTCTTGTGTCTTATTTTTATAAAAAGTATCTCCAATTCTTAGCGAATTTAAAAATAACTATGGCAATCAATAGAGGTAATTGGTTTATCTGCTACTACTGTATAACCAGTAATTGTTGATTGACACTTAGCTTTTCAGAAATCTCTTATTTTGTGGATTAGTAATTCTGTGACTGTAAACCAACAGTCTCTCAATAAATTCCTTCAGAACACAACTGGAAAGATTTAGTATAAATCAACTCTGACAGGATATAGATATAAAAAAAGGAGGTGCTCTGGTAGGATCGTCTAAAGTTGCTCTTTGGCCGTTAGAAGCCACTAGCTACTCCATGAGATAAAGACGGGGATTCCCCGCCACCCCAATGCAATTTTATAGCTTTTGAAAACCTGCTGAAGGGTCAGCTGTTGAGTTGTTCAGCCTTGAAAGCATTTATTGTATTATATAAGTCCTCAGAAGACCCGCTCAACATTTTGAAATAAAAACCAGATTCACAAGAGTCTATTTCAGCTTAACTCTAAGACTCAAATCTAGCCCCTTACCTTCTCCAAACTCCTTTCTTCACACATAGAACTGTTTTCTCAACAGTTAATAAACTCTTGGCTTTAGACTTTTCCATCTGTTAATCCTCTACCGAGAAACTGTTCGGTCTTAACAACAGTTCTTCCTCTAAGTTTCATTTCGGTATCATCTCAAGAACATCTTCGAACACCTTTTATTCTCCTCATAGGCACTTTGCTTCACTGTAATTGCCTTCTTCAATAGACTGTAAAGTCGAGGAAGGAAGGGTCTGTATTCACTGTCGTATCCCTGGCCCCTTACTATCCACTTACTGTCGAATCGAAACCGACTCATAACTGATCTTCCAGTGAGTTTTCAGAGATAGTTACTTGCACTGGAGGCCAATGCTCATCTTTCTTCGGAAAAACCACTTAGGGTTCCGAACCGCTGGAGAATCTTCTCTTTAGGGCAGTACCAATTCCCTGAGGACTATGTTAGAGATCCCTTCCCTGGCCTCTAGTATAATGCTTAACACACTGCCTTTTGAATATTTCTCGAATGGTATCAGTCACTTTAAGTTTTTGTCAAAACTTCCAAATCACGTATCTCGGTTTTCTGATAATCAGTAGATTCATTCTGGTGCCGATGTTCTGGACTGATTCCTTACAACTGATGGTCCGCTGACTCAGGCGCAAAAGAGAATGAGCATTTTTGAAGGATCCCAGTTCTCAGCCTGTAGAACCACAAACGACAGTGAGTGGACCTAAAGGGTATTAATTTGTATGACAGATCCACAAGGAGCTGCTATGCTCTCTCAGTAAGTAGTGAGCCGGACGTAAAGCTATCGAGACCACTTGGGACACAAACAAGGGCGATTGATTCGCTTTTCCCAAGTCTGTCATACTGCTGGCTCACTCGACCTCCTTCTGCGCGCCAAGCCATTAGTCCCGCCCCGTCCCGCTTAGGCTCCACCCACCTGGCGCGCCCCCAGTTACTAAATCCTGGCCGCCGGGGCGCGCGTTCCTAAGCCCCGCCTCAAGGGCCAGAACGCGCTCCCCCGCCTTGCTCTGCCTAAACAGTTCCGTTAGCAGTGAGAGGGAAAACCGTCCTTTGGGTCCCCGCCTCTCCACGCTCAACGCTTACTCCCTAATCACCCCCCCCCCCCGCGACCACTACACAATCTACTACGGAGGCCCCTAAAGCACAAATATCTCTAATACACTGTTGTATCCTGATAGATTTTGTCCTTATTACTCCCTTTGGCCTGAAGGTACTACTCGTGCATTTTTGTCAGGAATTCAGACTCGCAAGTTTCTTCCGTCGGCAAGACCTCTAAAGCTCTTTACGGTAGTAAAAGTGCCCTGTTTTTGGTAGCGGTGGTGGTTTCTTCCTCCCTCCCGCTGAGGCCGCCCACATTCCTTCCCTCCCACCTCTCGGAATTGTGGCGGCAGGGGGAGGAGAAAGTCAAAGCGCCTGCGCACAGAGGCAGCTTTCCATCCGGGTCCCTGTCCGTGCAGTGCAGCAGGTCGGTAGGCGGGAAATGGCGACTGGCTAAAGGATCTGGTTCTGTTGCTGCTGCGGACTAAGCGGGAAAGACACCACACGTTGCGTAGTCGGGACCATCGCCGGAACCTGAGGACACTTCTCTGTCGTCACAGTTAGGTAATACCCCCTCGTCCAGACGCTGCCGCTGCTCCCTACCTCAGTCCTCCTCCTCTTCCAGGGCCCTCTGCCGGGATCTCCTCCCCTTCTCAACCGGGTCCTCCAGCAGCTCTGGCGCTTTGGTAGGCATGCACTATTTGCGCCTCGTACGTCCACTATGTGGAACCGCTCTGCTTTGGACTTTCCCCTGGGAACAGAAGGGGAGCTCACTTCCCGCCAGCTTTAGCTCTTAGGCTGCGGCCTGTGTTGTGATTTCTGGGGTTAGATTTCACTTTGCTACCCACCCCCACTCCCGATCGCACGTTCCTAGTCCCAAACCTTGTGATCCCTCCGGGTAATTGGGTTAGAACAGCTTTTCTAACCATCTTGATCCAACTGGTGTTTGGGGCATTTCATTCTTTATCTGAGATGCTTTTAGGGGGGCGTTGCTCTCTCTTTTTTTATAAGCACCTTTTAGAGGATCTAGAAGAAGGGATGCTTGCTTATCTTCTGGGCTGTTGAAATATTGAGTTGACATTGTTACTTTTTCAAGTCATGAGTGGTAGTGAAGAATATGTAAAAGGCCTTTGGTTTCGATAGTGAGCAATTAATTAGTAGTGATCCCTTACTATGTCCTTATGGTTCATCCTGCTTTCTTTGGACATGGATGTTCACTTTTGCATTCTTTACTGGAATTCCGTGGTAAATAATTACATAAGTAAGCCGTGTTTATTTACTTCTCACCCTAGTGGTGGCTGAATGTGTGAATGATGTTAAGCACTTCAGAGTACCTAAGGGAAGCCTAAAGAGATACTGCTCGTAAACTGCCCTAGCATCCTGAATTGGAATGTACTACTTAGATGTTCCTCCAAGGCAGGAATTTATTTTCCTAATGCTAATAAAACATTGCCAAGATTGCTCTTCATCATGAATATACAAATTAGTGCCTGGAAATTATAGCTTTATCTGTGTAATGTTCAGATTGTAGATTACTTGTATTCCGTTCTTATTCTTAGTTAAGTTTCAGATCTTGCTATCCATATAAAAGTAAGGAAATGACTAGTTAAAGCCAATTGTTTTTCTTTACATGGCAGAACGGTTTTTTCCGTCTTTTTAAATTTCACAGCCTTTGTTGTTTTTTTACTAATTTAAAAAATTCTTTCAAAAATAATGTCGTTTATGTAAAACATCAGTTGATATTTACAATTACAAATATCTTAGTTCTTTTGGCTCAGTTTAAAGGACTTCACTATTAGAATGATATTAAGGTTTTATGCCAGTTTTGGGAATATACAAACATCATTTGATAAATTTACTCAAGGTCATAAAGAAAGTCAACATAAAACATAGCTCTTATTTGAATCAGTCTTTTAGGTTTGAATTTAATTTCATTCTTCTCTTCTAGAACCAATAGATAGAGTCTGAGAAATGGAATACCTGGATACCTGCTAAGTTAATTTATTTGAAAAGTAGGGCCATATATGGAATTTAAAAGGATAAAAATCAATATTTGACATAGTGTAAGCTTTATTTGTATTTTAATGAAATTTTTATATAGTCAACAAAGCATTAACATTTTTAATGAAATTTGGTTTGAAGGTGATAGCTTGAGCATTACAGAATATGCCTTCAGAAATTCTCCCAAATTGTTTAAGTCTACTTTTGGTGGCAGTTCTGGTGGCCAAGTGGTAAAGAGTTGTGCTGCCAAGCGAAAGGCATGTGGTTTGAATTTACCAGCTGCTGCTCTACAGAAGAAAGATGGGCAGTTTCCTTCTGTGTGATTCTTCTGGAACCCACTGGATGGTCAGCTATGAGTTGGTTCTAACTTGATGGAACATATCACATTTAATCAATATTCGATGGTTGGTTTTAACATTCTTTTTAGTAGTTGAACTGAAAGCTGTAAAGCGATGTGGTCCTTAACCTTTGTGGACTTGTAGATAGAATTCCAAATCAAATTGTGTACAATTACCAAAAAGGTTTGGTATGTATTGAGAATACCATGGACTGCTAGGAAAACAAACAGATTTGTCCTGGAAAGGGTTAAGCCAGGTGGCTCCTTGGAGGCAAGGATTCTGAGGCTCCGTCTAACATACTTTGGGCATGTTGTGAGGAGAGACCGGTCCTTAGAGAGGGACATCATGCTTGGGAGGGTGGAAGGACAGCGCAGGAGAGGAAGGCCCTCTATGAGGTGGATTGATTCAGTGACTGATGCAGGCGACTCAACGGCACATAACAACAACATGTTTTACTGTATTCCATTCTGTATAGTATTACTTGAGCATTCACTTGAGTCAGTAATGTTTTTATTTTTCCACTGTTAAGAAATGAAGAATTGAAAAAGTTTTGTTTTTCCCAGATTGATCTAGCTGATCCTAAGTTTGTGATTACTGATCAAGAGGTTTCTTCCAAGAGTATTATATTACAGAATTCTTTGATACTGATTAAAGAAAGTTGAACTTGTTTGGAAATTATGTGTATTACTGTATTTCTGGTCTGTTTGCTAGAGAATTAATTATGGATTGCCTTAGGAGATTATGACTTGGATTAACGAGGTAATAAAGTAATTTGCCAGAACTGGAAATTAGTAAAACTTCATTTTTGCTGTTTACCAAGTTAATTGTGAAAGCGTGAAATAGAAAAGATATTTTAAATTATGAATTTGAAATTTATTAAGAACATTTCATAGTATTCCCAAAGTAATTTTTCTGTATAGGTTAAAAAGTCACTGATAATTTTAACAGGATTGATTATAGTGAGTCTTTTGCTGTACTTTGAGAGTGGGGGAATTTTAACTAATATGGAAACTATGTTAGAACCACACAAAGCTTTAGTTTGTACTGAACATTTGCCATGAAAAAAAAATATATAAGGCCATGATACAGGCCATGGTCTTCGCAATTACTTGTTATATATCAGAGAGTTGGACAATGACCAAGGAGGATAGAAGGAGAATTGATGCCTTTGAGCTGTGGTGCTAGAGAAGAGTATTGAGAATACCATGGACTG